ATATATATATATACATACATACACACACACACACACACACATACACATACATATATGTTAATTTTTTTGTTTCATTTTTTTTTTTATGTAATGGTGATCCAAACATATGTACTTTGTTTTCTATTTATTCACTATTTATTTTGATTTATTTTACTATTTATTATTACCTAATAAAGCTGCATTACAGACATTTAATGGATATTCTAAGTATTCTTAGAATATATTTAATCCATAAATATAAATTTTTTGAATACTAATTTGAATGTAACAACCTTTGGAATCTAAATATCTGTTAATGAAGCTGAATAATAAAAATGTAGTGAATATTGAATGAATAATAGTAGTGAATAATAAGACAATATTACATTTTAAAATATATAATAAACCCTTTGTATATACATTAAATACATTTGAAAATGTTTTGAAAAGAAAATATCTGTTACGGAGCTCAGTTAGGACAGTAATTGTTGGGAATGGGAAGTAAAATAATAAGTAAAAAAGTATAATAACAATAATAATAATAAAAAAATATTATTATTATTATAGTATAAAATAAATATATACATAAATAAATAAATCTTGGTATAAAGGGTTAACCCTGTAAATTTTTATACAAACTTATTTTTAGTAAATACCATAAATGATTCTTACCTCTGCACAGAGGTAATGGACCACTCCAAAAAGACGGATTTCCCAGAATGCACTTGATGGCCATCTCACCAATGAGCTCATAGCCTTGGTAGCACATGAAGGTTAGAGACTCTCCCGGTAGGTAAAGCCTTTTAGACAATATCTGGTAGCCATTGTCAGGAAGGCCAGGATTCTCACAGGACACGGACTCTTCCGCTAATATACAGGGAATTAAATCAAGAATAATAGAGGGATTAAACAGGAGCTAAAACATAAAATACAGACATTTTGGACAAAACATTTGTGGGAACTCACACACGCAATGAGGCAAGCGAGACGTCCAAACAGGAGTGCCGGGTTCTCGACCATAGCAAGTGAGAGTGGCGCCGCCCTGCAGGATGTATCCGGGAATGCAGCTGTACTGGATAGTGGTGCCAACCAAGAGTTTGGGATCAGATAGCGTGCGTGTGGAGTGCTCCACATGTCCAGGGTCTGTGCAGTACATAACTAATGAGGGGACGCGAGAAAAGGAGACACAGCTGAGAAGGATGGCATTTGAATCTGCTGAAAGTAAAAGTTCCTCAGACTCTAATTAGCAAAGACACCCAACTGTGCTTGACTCACTCTTCTCACAGAACGGAGGCTGCGTGTTCCAGCTCAGGTCCACCTGACAGGTCAAGGTTTCACTGCCCACCAGGTCGTAACCCGGGTCGCACTGATACGTGATACGAGCTCCACGCACCAGCGCCGCGTGAGAAGTGGTCTTCCAGCCGTTCTGGATCTCAGGGAGGTCTGGACACGAGTCATTGCGTGACACCTCTGAAAAAAGGAGCAAAATTATTTAACCTCTTCTATTCATCACACAGAAATTCTCTCGTTTATTGAATTTTTATTAACAGAAAAAAAATACAGGAGAATAGCAAAATAAATTGTCACCACTCCACCTCCATTTATATATATATATATATATATATATATATACATATATACATATATATATATACACACACACACACACATATATTAGGGCTGGTAATTTAACACATTAATTAGATTAATTAATTACGGTGAAAAATAATGTGTTAAAATTATTAACGCATTTAATGCACTTGCCCCGCCCCCAGACCTATGTGTGTCATCTGACATTTCATACAGTTGATTGATGACAAATATGAGGCAGGGCAACAACTCACTGTGTGATGGAGCCTAGAGAACATAGTTAATATCCCTAAAATTCGAGATATGGGGCAAAAATGCCACTGTTTGAGTTTTTGTCTCATATATTTACATCATATAGTTAAGCAATATCACACGAGCAATAGGCTAAGTGCAATATCACACGAGTGCAAATGTGATGCTGATCTTATACAACAGTTCAGAGATATTTTTTTAACAGAAATCACTTTTCAAAAACTACAACGAACAACTCATTTGGACTACAACGCATACTTTCCGGTATTTGTGATATCACAAAGATCGACGAATGGGACGAGACCTGGTTGAGCTGCACTAGAGAAGGAAACGAGTGTTATCACTATGTCGGAGACACGCTAGCTTTCCCAAGGCAGACGAACTTAGAGTGGTTACAATCATCCGGGTTTAAATCACGCTCAAATCGATTTGATTTTGACGCAATATTTACACTGAAGCTCGCTGCTAACCAATCACAGCACATTTCGTATTTCAGAAGGCGGGCCTTCATTTGATACAGGAACTATTCGAGCCGTTCATGCCAGACTGGGGAGAGAGGTGTTGTAATAATGTAAAATATGTGAAAAATAATGTCTTTTTCGAACAACCTAATATGAGAGCACACCCCCAAAACAAAATCAAGACTTTGTAAAAGAACATAAAAGGACCACTTTAATGCACGTTTTGAACGAATTGGGTGAACCATTTGGCGCGTTCAACCATTGGCCATAGGCGCGTTGGATTTGAAGCGGCGCTGCACAGATCTTTCGGTGTATGACTTCAAAGTACCGCGAGAGCGATTCAAAAGCATGCAGAGTCATCTGCTCTCTACAGCTCTTGCGGTACTTTGATGTCACACACCGTTCGATCTGATGGTGATGATCCGCTTCAAGTCGAACAAGCCTAATGATTCAATAGACCATTCATAAAGAGAGCCATTTACTTCACTCCTAAATGAATCAGCCATTTGAACGAATCAAATGAATGAATAAATGACTCGATGACTTTATCATTAAGACATTTACCACCACCTACTGGCAGTTTTAGTTGATTATTTAGAGTATCATTTCATTAAAGAAATAATTTCATATTTCCATAGTAATAATAATAAAATTAATAAAATAAATTATTAAAGGTATAGTTCACCCACCCAAAAATGACAACCGTGTCATCATTTAGCCCTCATGGTCCATAAGAGTATACGTAATAAATTTTTTTGTAATAAACAAAATATTTCTTGCTGAAGCTACTTTTTGTAATGTCTGTTTGATGCTTTATGAACTTAAATGATTTTAGCAAATGGCTGCAATATAACAAAGAGTGAAAAATTTAAGGGGGTCTGAATACTTTCCGTACCCACTGTATATATATATATATATATATATATATTAGGGGTGTACACGTATTCGTACCAAAAATGTTCGCTACGGGTCTTTCGGTTTGGTATGCACGTGTACGACATATCGCCATATGACGCAAGTGAGCACGATCACCCCTTCCTCTTTATTACTAGTTTTAACGCGAAATATAAATTAATTAACATCTCACCCCTCATGTAATCGCTGAATTAGTGTTCCAACCGCGGAAAGACATCATTAAAACACAAAAAATGTCACGTAGCATTTAATTTACCTCAGGCAAGTCATCAGTGTCTACAGATCGTTATTTGCTAGAGAAATGAAGTCTAGTGAAGAGCATTTTGCGAAATATGAAGCCACATTCACACCAAGAACGATAACTTTAAAGATAACTATAAAGATAACGATATTAGCGTCCACACCAGCGAACGTCATCGTCTGTTTATTCTAAGTACATGCTCGTCTGCCGCTTTAATTTCTCGAGCTCGTGATAGCAGGATTGATTCTGATTCGGTGTCAATGTTTTTACCGTTTATCAGCCGATAAATATCGTTCTGAAAGAGAGTCCAACGATATCGTTTCTCTGTGCCTTTATCGTTATAGCTGTGGTGTGGACTCTGCTATTCTTTAATATTGAGAACGATTTTTAGGACTATATTTATCGTTATCTTTATAGTTATCGTGCTTGTTGTGAACGGGCCTTTAAAACTATACTTCATTATATTTACTTTACATAATTATAAATATTTAAAAAATAATTTAAAAAAAGTAATAATTACATTACTGTACCTGTTAGTGATATCTTAATTATTTAATGTATATGTTTAAATAAATATTTTATGAAACAGGTTATGACTCTGTAAATTATTATATTTGAACAACAAATAGAAACTGTATCATTTAGAAGTTAATTTAAAAACTATTTACATGTTTGCATACAATTTTTTAATTTGAGTGTCGATTGTTATAGATAAAAATAAATAGTAATTGAATTTAAGTTTGGGCTCTGCTGTTAATTGTAACCTTATAGTAATGTAAAAGGGCTCCCTATAGTTTAGAGCAGAAGCTGAGGTTGATTTTTATAACTAAGAAAATTAAAATTATAATTGAATTAATTTAAAGAAAGAGCAATTTGTTCAGTTATTTCATAGTTAAATAATAAAAAAAGCAATTTATGTTTAGTTTTTTCCTCCTGCTGTACGAGACCATACCGAACCATAACGTCCAAACTGAGGTACGTACTGAACCGTCATGTTTGTGTACCGTTACACCCCTTATTTAAAATCAAATAAAAAAATATATATATATATATTGTCCACTCCCATCCACTCACCCGCCCAAAATAAATGAATAAATATTTATAATAAAACTAATAATCTCCCCCACACTCATACCTAGGACATGATTTAAAAGGTGTGTCATTATATCTTCTAAGTGACTGGACAATTTTTGCCTGGTAGATAATAAAGATCCCTTTTACTCACATTAAAGGAGAGATGTGACTCATAGAGACCAGAATATCACATGAGGGTGGATTTTATTGACTTAGGCCAGTAAGTAACCACCCACAACACCCTAGCATTTCGGAGGCGACTTATGCACGAGCAAGCACCACTCACTAATTTTTAGGAAATGTAAAATCTAGTTTTATGTTAGTTTTGGCCTTTCGGGAATCAAAAAGTCAAGTTGAACTTGCTTTGCCCACACAAACGTGTGTAGGAGCATGTGCGCTAACAGCTAGGTCGCAGCTCTGACACTTTCAGTTCTTTATTCATAAGACTTCAGATCTTGTAGTTGGCAAAAAAAATCATAAGTAAATGTAAAAGGCATCATAAAGTCTGCTCCAGTGTTGTTATTGTTAACTAAAACTTTGTTAGTGTTGAAATGGAGCTGAAATAAAATAAAATATAAATATTAGATAGAAAACGTAAACTTAAACTTGAATGAAAATTTTAAAAACTTAAATAAAACGTTTAAATTGAAGTACTAAAATTACTAAAACTGATAGATACTTCAGCTTAAACATAAGTGTTTTAAGTTTTTTTTATTTGAAGTTTTTCATCTAATATTTATATTTTATTTTTAGTCATTTTAGTACTTCAATTTAAATGTATTTTATTTCAGTTCTTTGCTATGGCAATTTTTCTTTTAAAGTAATAAAATTAACAGGTAATAAAAATAAAATAAATGTCAGATGAAAAACTTAACGAAAAAAGACACAAACTTAAACTTAAAAACATTAAACGCAAATGTAAAAAATGTTGCTATGAAATAAAATAATTTAAAGTTTTTCAAGTTTAAGTTTTATTTCAGTTATTTGCCATGCCAACATTTCCAATTTCCTTAAGTACTAAAATGAAATAAAAATATATAAATTTTTTTTTAAAGCTATATAGAAATATAATTTAAAAACTAATAAAAATTACAAAAGCACATATCAAAATTACTAAATCAAGCTAAAACATAGAAAATAAAAATGAAAATGAAAAGAACATGAAAATAAAAGCTAATTCAAAATAATAAATACTATAATAGTGTATAAATAACAATAAAATAACACTGCTCTGGTCCACAATGCAGTTTCTTCTGGCCAAGAACTGCCCAAAAGGCAGAAAATCTATCAAGTGACCAACCACTGTTTGTTGTTTTATAGACCTATCATCGAGTAAACGATGAGCGCCGCCATTACGAATTCTAACTTCCGATTGGATGCTCTTCTGTTCCGGTTTCCATAGGAACCCATTCAAATAGTGCCCATCTGTTTTTATGGTAGCTAACGTCGGCAGCTTCGTGTCATCTACACACTCATTAAACTTTGAGAAGTGAGGCACTGACAAATGACGGACATTACGACACTGTGAAGTGATGGCGCTATGGAGCCATGTGCCTTTTAAAAAAACATTTTAATAGGTTTAACATTAGATTATCAGCTCGGAATATACTCTAATTTGATTGGAAACACTGGAGACCGGAAATGCAAAGCCTTCTTCCGGTTAAGAGTCAGGCATGACTTCCGCGTTCAGGAAAAATGTCTATATGACGTTTATGGGCAGGTTAATATGAAGTATATAAGTGTTCTCAAAGACATCTAGCTTATTATGCAAAAAACTCTTCAGTTCCAGACAATCAGGTTTTGAGAACACTCTTGCCATTTTTGTGCGCAATATGCATGATACTGCATCTAATTTATGCGTTTTAACTGTGTTGCAATTAGCTTGAGTGTCCTTACCCATGTAGTTGATGATGAAACCCTCTCCTTTCCCAAAGACCAGGCCGGCTGGGTCTGAGTGGAAGGTGATGGTGAGGTCAGGGGTTGAGGAGGACATCTTAAACGGGCTGGTTCCCCCAACAAACTGCCCCAATATACGTGTTGTGACCTCATCTCCATCCAAAATGGTTAGCATATCACTGTCGCTGAGATTCAAGCTAATGAGAGAGAGAGAGAGAGAGAGAGAGAGAGACAGTGGGCGAGAGGTGAGGGGTTTGTGTAGGAGGAAATGAGAAAATGAACGAGTCATTCAGGCAGTTTGGTGAGTCATTGCATCCAGCAGGTCTGTGGGCTTCGTTCGATTCCAGCAGCCGCAGCTTGACGCGTCAGCCAGTAAAGCAGCCAAACCAGCAGTCTTTGCTGTTGTTTTCAGAACAGAATGTTCCAGAAGGACTTACAGCTGTACGTCCAGCAGGACGCGTTTGTCCTCGCCGACGTGAATCCTCCAGCTGCAGTCCTCGCCCTCCCCGTACCATTCGGGCCAGTTTGGGGACAGGATAACGCCGCTGGGGCCGGACAGGTCACCGCCACAGAGAGCTGCAGAGAGGCCACACAGACACGTGTCGCATTGATTTCTCTGTCACATTGTTTTCTGTCACACGATTCAGAGAAACAAATCTCAATTAGCAAATGATTAATCGCGATTAATCACATCCAAAATAAGTTTTTGTTTACTCAATATATGTCTGTGTACTGTGTATATATAAAGACACACAAATACAGTATATATTTTGAAAATATTTACATGTATTTACATGTATATAT